GTCTCCACATGGGCTTCTCTGCCTCCCCCCGTTTGGGGGTCTCCCTTGGGAGGAGCCCCTTACCCGGTATTCGTGGGACCAACCCCAGATGGTCCCTGAGGAAAGGGGACCACTGGCCTTCGGGTAGGTGGACCCGAGTAGTCCTTGCCCCTGTCAGGAGCCTTGCGCCCCAGGGGGTTCAGGAAATTGTGGCCCTTCCTCTTCGGAGGAGGTCCAAAGCACCCTCGTGCACATTTTTTTTTTTAGTGTGCTGTAATTTTACGGTTCACTTTTTTTGTTCACAGGGGTGATCAAGTCTTCAATGTGCGCATTACTGACCTTAAAACAAAAAAAAAATAAGTAGTGGGGCTACGCTGGGGCTCTAGGGAGACCCCAGAAGGCAGCATAGCCACCTTATAGACTGAAGTGTACTTGACAGTTCAATTGTTCCAATTCTCATTTTCAAGAAAAGAGGGCACAGAGAAAGAAACAAGCCAGCATTTCAGCAAGCACATGAGTAATGCTACTACATTACATTTGATAGCTCATGGGTGTAATAATACATTAAACACTCTGTTGGGTTTTATTGTTGTCGGTGCTGCATAGAAGAGATTTTTCCCCTCATTTTATATCCCACTGAGAGATATTACTGAGGGGGCATTTCTACATGAAGACACAGACGGCAATAAAACTTTGAGGATGGAGATACTTGGAATATGGCCCTATACAAGTCTATGAGGGCACACTGCGCAGATGCATTTGGAGGTCACAAAGATCTTTGGCTGGAGGGGCTGTAAACATCTGAGTAGGCCACAGCTGTTATAGTGATGTAAGTAAGCAGCTGGGATGGGAGAGTTTTAGTGTAGATTAGTTCAGGAGGGCTAGGGCGGGTGGGTTAGTGTTAGCTCTGTACAGCTGTGCTTTAAAGTAATTTTATATGCGACTCACATTTGTACACGCTTTCCCTTACATATATCTGTTATTGTATTATACATACAGATTTGTAAATTAGCTAGTGTAGGGAGTGAAGATTAACTATTATAAATTTCGCTACACTAAAGAGACCCTGCCAGACCTTTTATTTCAACACCAATCTTCCCAAAAAATGATATGTGCATTAACGTATTTTATGAATCTTATTTACCTGTAAAATCCTCCCTTGTGAAGACATCCAAAAGCCCTGAGACTGCTGTTGGGTGCTGCCGTCTTGGATATGATGTCAACAACCCCAGCAGACTCAAAGCTGTAACTCAAGTGGCACCCTATAGTATTCCCCTTTGCTCCAGCCCTGGCAGCTACATAAACGGTTTTGTAGGGGGGTAAAGAGATAAAATGCTAGACAATTTGGCTCCAGGAAGATCAGTTCCCTAACACAGCCTCCTCCCTCTCATCATAGCTAGGGACCAGATTCAGTCCTAACCTGAGCTCCCCTGCAGCTGCACGCAACCGAAGGGGTGAGATTCAGGCTATATAAGGTAAATGACATTAATGTACCTAATATGGCCATCTGGCCATAAAGGGCAATGATGTCAGCACAAGCATCCCACCTCTTTGTCCTATGATCAGCTGCGGGGCAGACAATGCCCCAGCATGCAGCTGATTGGTCAGGAGGCCCACGTAGCTTCCGCAGAAGCAGGTTCGAACCAGGCTAGACCTCTAGCTATGATGAGAGGGAGAAGCAGTGTTTGGGAATTGACTTTCCGGGAGTAGTCAAATTTTCTACCAAGTTTAAAGGCATATTACAATTGAATAAAAATCCTTTATGGAAAGGAAAAACACTGCAACTAAGGATTTCAAATACTTGATTTTCCTGTGCTTTTGCCTTACCAAGCCAACTTGCTGTACTAATCCCTCCTGCTTGAACTGCGTTTGCTACTGCCGTGCTGAATAAAGGTGCAGGACAAACCAGCTGTGACTGTTCCTGGGTATCCCTATCTCGTGCATGGATGACCGCTGCCAATATCAGTTGACGCTGTGCCCCTTACAATGTATGTACAATAAGACTATACTTTCTGTTTAGCATTTGTTAGCATTGTTTAAAGTCCAATTTGACACTTGAGTCATCAGCATTTTGGGTCTAATACCCAAGTAAAGTATTGAATTATTACAATAATACTGCTTATAAACAACCATTACACCAATTGCATAGTTGTCTTGCCAATGAAACAGCCAATGACACTTACTCATCCCGGGTGCAGCCATTGCAATTCTGGAGGCTACCACCTGACTAATCCCTTTGATTGCAGCTTTCTAAATTGACAAAGAAAAATATATGCGTTAAGAAGTATCACTGAGTGCCCTTAGGGCTAGAGAAAGAAAATTTACAGAATCCTCTTCCTTTGGTCTCACTGGTACAGAGTTCTACGTTATCACAATAAAATGTGACATGCAGAAATTTATACTGAAAAAAACACCAAATATGGAGTATTAAAATGACCATTCCTCAGAGACCACTAACAGACCATGTTTTCCAAGTAATATAATAAGCTAAAAATCAGCGGGCTTCATTTAACAGTGCCATGCAAGTGTATGCAAATCTAGAAAATATGACCTGCTAGCATCCTTGAGGGAAACTTATCTAGACAGAGGTGAATTAGAGTAATTTAAAGACATGACATCATCCTAACCCTTCCCCTCCCTATTATACATCTAGAACATTTTTTTTTTTTTGGTGGGGGTAACAAATACTTTTTTTTTAGCAGGTGCTTGCTCCCACTTCCTCATTGTTCACCTATGCAAAGATGACATGTATCTCTCAATCTGCAATCCTCATCCCCCTCTACAGCCTTCTGGGATATACATTATCCAAGGAGGCCTCAGCATAGTCGGAGGATCTTGTGGATGCACACTAGAGGGTTGGCTGTGAGCGATCACAAAGTCACAGCCAGCTCCTGAACCCAATATAGCAGCACAGGGACAAACACAGCAGGTTCTAGAGGTCCTAGGAAGACAGTGCTGGACTTTTTGAGCTGTTAAGTGTGTGTTTTTTCAAAGTCAGCAGCTACAGTACTTGTAGCTGCTGACTTTTACATTTTGCAATGCCTGGTGAAGCTCCTCTTTTAGTCCACAAACATATAGCTCAAGTATCAGCATGCAAAGCATGCTGATACTTGTAGTTTCACAACTGATGGAAGCCCAGACTTGTTACAAAATTAATGTTTGCACAGTGTATTGCATTTGCAGAAGTGAGTCTAATGGATTATTGATAATCTTACACCCTGGCTGGTTTAGGTTGTTCTTGTTCTGTTTGCACTGATTTACCTGGAATGTAACAATGGTTTTCGGTTTTTGAATGACAGCTGGCAGCCGAGACAGAATTGTGCTGCCCTCTACTGATGACTTTCTGTAAAATACAGCAGTAAGTGCTTCACCGTGCATTGCACCAGAAATGTATTCCAAAGGACAAGGTGATTTCAGAGATACTAATTAGCCAGAAACAAATTTAACAGAAATGTAGGTTGATGTATCCAGGCTTATTGAAGAATGTAGGTAAGCACTGTGCAATGCAGTAACCTACAGCAACCAATCATCATTCAGAATGTTTTTAAATGATAAAAGGTGAAATCTGATTGGTACTTATAGGATACTGCACTTAGCATATCATCACTGCTCTGAGCACTGCTTTATTATATAAGCACAAAATGAGTGTGTCAGATAAAAGAAACATTATAAAAAGAAGCAGTAGCAATAAAGGTGCAGCTATTTTAGGGTGCTTATACACAGGCATTTACCCGATATAAAAAGATAATAGAAGAAAGCCACTTTTTACATAGTTACATAGTTACATAGTATTTGAGGTTGAATAAAGACATTAGTCCATCAAGTCCAACCTATTAGGATCTCATTCTAGGAGTACCCGTACCCCTGTATATTACGGTCCCTTAAGAAATCGTCCAAAAGTTTCTTGAACAATTCCACATTATTTGCTGAAATCACCGCCTGTGGTGCTGATGCTGAAATCACCGCCTGTGGTTTCATGTCTTGTTCTGGTACCTGCACTTTGCTCTCTCGCATGTCCTGCATTAAAAAGCTAATTTGACATTTTGCTTTTATAAAAACAATGTAATTGCAAACTGTATAAGAACATAAAAACAGGTCTACAAGGTACGGTGTACCTTCTTGAAAGATACTGTATCTTATTAATCCCTGTGTGTATGAGCTCTTGGGCAGTATTACAATTATGCTGCAGAGACCATAATAATAGCCAGAAGGGCTCAATTCAGCATTAGGACAAGAATTATTATTATTATTATACAGGATTTATATAGCGCCAACAGTTTGCGCATTGCTTTACAATATAATGAAGACATTACAATCACAATACAATTCAAGACAAGATGGTAAGGAGGGCCCTGCCCGTGAGGGCTACCAGAATAAAGATCTTTATTCTCAACCTCGTGACCATAATTTTCAAATCTCATTGGAGTCAGATGGCTATAACCTTTTTTTTTTTTTAAATAAGGATCCTTATTCTTGTGTGTCAGCCTTGTGAACTGAGCCTAAAATGTTCTATAAAAGCTAAAAGCAGAAAGTAAAAGGTGACGTGATGCTCACAGCTTGTAGTAGTTACTTTGGCTGGACTTGTTTGGTTATGTTGAAGATGTTTCATCACTGGTAAGTCCAGATGAATGTCACTAACTACTACTAGCTATAGCATGACCTGGTTGAATGCAAGAAATTAGTTGCTTGGCTACCGTATATACGGCTTCAATACTTTCTGGACCTGGAACAAGAATGGAACTAGTGAAGTCATAACTAGGGATGCACCAATACCGTTTTTTTCGGTATCAAGTACCGATATTTTTATTTCAGTATTTGCCGATACCGAATACCGATACTGGAAGTCCCATTAAGGAAGCCGGGGGGCATGTAATGACTTGCCTGATTAGCCGGGAAGCCATCTCCATGCTCCCTCGTCACCAGGTTGCTTTCTGGCCAATCAGGAAGTCGCCGGCGCGTAATGCTCCCTCGTCACCAGGTATTTTCAGTAAGAGACATCAGCAATGACATGCTACATACTTTTGTACAGGTTTTCCTTATAACCCACTTTGCCATCAATCCCTAATCACTTGGATCACAGTGATTTGAATCACGTAAAAATGTAGTCGATTACAATTACTTTGTTGCTGTTGAAATGCATTATTATTTATTAAATATTTTAACAGGATTTACTTACTCTTGAGTGTCCCAGCTTCTTGTCGTTTTCATCTGTAACAGCAATTCCATTAATTATCTCCCTGAAGAACACACGGCAGAAAGTGATAAGGACACTTCAATGAACAGGATACTCAGGATAAACAGGAGATTATATATATATATATATATCTTGATATTCTCTTATTCAGCCCGCAGGCTGAACAAAAGAAAAATCAATCAATATCTCCATTTATGTATGGAGGAATTTTTCACTGCTGGTTAATATATTCAGCAACTGCGACACTGGCAGCAGCCTGAATACAGTGGCGTTGCAGTGACTGCATCTGATAAGCAACCTATGTCTTGCACTTTCAGGGCCATCCATGGCTTGAATTTCCCCAAAATTTGAGCAATGTACGGCCAGCTTAAGGGACATTGTGGAGGGTTATACTATTGAAGATTAACAAACATTGTAGGAGGCAATGTAAAAAACTAAGAGGCACCATGGAATGTTATATCATGAAAGACTAAGGGACTAAGAGACTAAGGGACATTTTGGAAAGTTATATTATGGAAGACTAAGGGACACTGTGGAAGGCTAAGGGACATTATGGAAAGTTATATTATGGAAGACTAAGAGATATTGTGGAAGATTAATAGACATTCTGAAAGGTTTTACTGTGGATTACTAGAGGACCTTGAAGAAGAATAAGGGGTACTGTAGAAGGTTATAATGCAGAAGACTAAAAGGATGCTGCGGAAGTCTAAAGGATGTTGTGGAGGACTTTGGGACATTGTGGAAGATAGCTGTAAAAGACTAAGGGATGTTTTGGAAGACTAAAAGACACTGTGGAAGGGTATGTTTCAGAAGACTAAGGGATGCTGTGGAAGGCTAAAGAAGACTACGGTACACTCTGGAAGGTTATATTGTGGAATACTAAGGGACTTTGTTGAAGAATAATGGGCCTGTAAAAGGTTATAATGTGGAAGACTAAGGGATGCTGTGGAAAACTAAGGGATGTTGTGAGAGACTAAGGGATGTTGTGAGAGACTAAGGGATGTTGTGGAAGACTAAGAAAGATCCTGGAATACTAAGGGTCTTTGCTGAAGAATAAGATGCGGTGTGGAAGGTTATTTGTGGAAGACTAAAGAATGCTGTGGAAGATTAATGGACATTGTTAAACCTTATACTGTGAAACACTAAGGTATACTATGATTGACTAAGGAATGTTGTGGAAAACTAAGGAATGTTGTGGAAAACTAAGGGATGTTGTGGAAGATTAAGGGATACTCTGTAAGGTTATATGGTAGAAAGCTAAGAGACATTGTGGAAGAGTATAGTGTGGAAGGGATGCTGTGAAACACATAACATGGAACAAAGGAATAGACTGTGATGCACTGATCTCTACAAAAACAAAAATTAGAAGCATACATGATGTATACTGTATATAAGTACAATTTTCATAGGATAGATGAGTAAAAGAACAAAAGTTACTGCATTCTCAACTTACTGCTGCCTCATCATAGGAATGTTCACACAGTTGGCAGCAGCAACAGCAGCAAAAGGAACCCAGCGAGCAATAAGTGGTGGTGCTTTCTGAAAAATCATGGAATTAGTATGTTAACACATTTTGTAGACTGTTTCAAATAATACTCATAGTTGTACATAATATGCATATTTTTAAGGGTAATTCTGCCCCAATAAGGCTTTGCATCTATATATCTATAAAGTATCAAAGTAGTGTAACTAAAGTACATTTTTTTATGTTTTGGATAGAGTAGGTAAGTGTTAAAATCCTCTGTCAGGCTTTTATTGCTCTCTGTGTTTCCCAGGGGAGATTAACCCTCATTATTAGGTCTTGGTGACCATTGTTACCAGGACAAAATTGATGAGAAATCCCAAACAGCACAAAGACAGCAAAACACTAGCACAAGCTATCACAAATCCATACTGTATCCAAAACTAAAGTTCTGATTCTAGTTATAATTTTCAATCTTAGGTCATAAGAAAAGTAGAATTATTCATTAGCTAGTCATCCAAAATGACTACATTGCTTTAATTTTACACAAATTATTGCCACACAGTCAGATAACAGAATGGCTGGCGTTTTGAAATATCTGTGGGCCTATAGTGGTCCTGTGGGATGGTCTGCTTCAATAAATTCCCTTTTAATAAAATAGCCAAGTTCACAGTAGCATATTAATAGCCTACAATTGGTCTCCAAAGTGTTGAGTCATGCCAATTTCTATAAATTATTGCACCACAGGGTGCAGCAAAGTTTGGCTACACAAATGTAGGCTTATCTTTAGTTTTTAGAAAGACAGCTTCTTATCCTATCCTGGTGCTACAGGCAAGCAGCTTTGACTTGTTGTGAAAGTAAGAAGGTATGGCAAATACAACATAGGCATTGTCCATTTTATACCATCCAACCCCCAGTAACCCTATCCTACCTAAGGAAAAAGCCTTTCCTAACACAGAAAACAAAGGTATATACATATAAGACAATTAGCCCCTGTTAGAAGCCATGAGCAATGCATAAATCTGCAACTTAAAGGCTACAATCCTTATAATCCAGTTCATTACAACACTGCCTGTTCAAATACTGTTTTGGAGTGATAAAGGTTGGCAAAACATGGATAGTTTCTAAATATCCTCTCCCCACCTGACCACTGATTACTTATGTTTGCCTTTCTGGATAGTGCCAGGTTGTAGTCCCTCATGATATGGACTATCATAAAACAGAACACAAAATGAGGCGGGGGCAAACCATCATAAAAAGTTGGGACTATCATAAAACAGCACACACAATGAGGGGGGCTATTATAAAACAGTTCCTATAGGGGAGCTATAATGAAAACAGCCAAATGGGGGGCTATTATAAAACATCACAAAGAATGAAGGGGACCATCATTAAACATTCACCATAGTTGGGACTATCATAAAACAGCACACAAAATGGGGGCGGGGTATCATAAAACTGTTCCCATA